CGCGGAGCAGGACTACGCCGCTCGGGGGCCATGGGCCCGAGGCGCGCGACTACTCCCCGTCCCGCAACCCCCAGGAGGTGGAGGCGCGGTAGTCCCCGCGGGACCCCGCGCCCCATGTACAGAGGTCCTTTCACAAATGCACTGCTGTAAACTTTTCTACGTGGACGTTTCTAGAACCTAAGCACAGCGCCGTCAGTCCTGGGGTGACACTTGCTTAACACCCGAAGCCTGCACAGTGGGGGAGCTTCATCCACAGCTTTGCTGGGGGTGATCTTTTGTTTTCTGAGCTTGAAATTAGGCTACTGGAGGAGAATTCAAGTTTGTACATCTTTCCCCACAGGTGAGAAGCGTTTTTAATAGATTTGTATTTTTTTCAATTTTGTGCTCTTTAGACATTTAAAAAGAAAAGAGAAACTTTTGCTTTTTTATCTTCAGTTCAGATTTGCAATGTAAAGGCCTCAGATCCCTCTCTAGAGCCCCAGGATCTTTTGTCTTATTTATGGAGAAAAAACGGTCATTTTGTCCAGCGCACTGTGAGGCCCCCACTCAGGGCCCGCCTGGCCCTCCCTTGGTACTTGGAACCGAAGTTACAGATGTATATTAAAATAATAATTAATAATAATGTACAAAACTTTTTTTGCCTTATTATGCAGAAGCATAAGAGGATTTCTTTTTTGGTTTGTTTTTAAAGAAAAACAAATGAAATATGTAAATAGTCTGTTAATATAAATATATGACGTTATTAAATTCTTAACCTAGGTAGACTTTATAAAAGGCAGTTTCTAGAAACCTCTCTGATTATTTGTTTAACATGGTCACAAAAAACCCACTTGCTGTCAGTTGGACACGCTCAGAAGCTTAACTGCAGCAGATCCTTCAACTATGCAAGCGCTCAGAGGTGGGACTGGGCCGCTGTCTGGGGAGGACCCTTCCCCCAGCCTCGCAGCAAGCTGGGCCCCGCCCTCCTCGGCCGGCTCTGGCCGCAAGGACACTTCTGTGGACCCTAGTGCTCACTGAGCAGTGCTCTCAGAATCCATACCAGACAAGTAGATTTTTAGGAGTTAAGAGTCTAAAGGTTCATTGCAATCAGAAATAGTAACTTCTGTCCACTTTCCCCTCCGTGCAAAGGCCATCGGCAGATGGCCCTCAGCGCGCTCCTCCACCTGTGGAGGCCTTGGCATGATCTCCTTTCGGTTTCGGTTTTGCTTTCATAACCCCCCGAACGTCCCCCGGTCCTGTCCTCAGCGCCCTTCTCTGTTCCCCGACACCCCCACCTGTGTCCACTGCACTCTTGAGCCTTGTTGGTTCGACTGTCAGCAGCCATCTGCTCTGTTCTGTATTTTCAACCCGTGTTTCCACTGTGGACTCTGGTTGTTTTAAACACTGAGTTCTCGTGTCAATCAATGAAGATAAATACAGCCTTGATTTTGGATCACAAGATGGTCGGGTGTTCTGTGTGGCACTGTAGAAGGTGGGGGTTCCTGGCCCCAGGACTGCCTTGGCGCGTTGGGTGGAGCCGGGACACCGGTCACCCTGGCCTAGAAGCAGAGCACCTTCACGGGCCTCGGCCCTGCATCTCCAGCTCCGCCTGGACCGGCACCGCCCGGCTGTTCCTGCTGCTGGAATGCCCTCCCGCCCTTTGCCTGCCGCCTCCACCTTGGCCTGTCCCCACCCCGTCAGCCTGCTCCGCCTTGTCCTCTCTGTGCACTGGGTGCAGGCTCACATCCCTGCGGGGCTGGCCTTCCCCCTGCCCCCCACTGCCCTGGCCCCACACAGAGCCAGGTGAGCCTCTTGTGGAGAAATGAGGGCTCAGGGAGGGAGGGGGCAGAGGCAGAACTGGCCACCTCTACTCTTCGGGAGGAGAAGGGCAAGGGGCCATTATCCCCATCCCGTCCTTGGTTTGGAAATGGGGGCTCTGAATGGATTTGGGTGAGCAGCCAGGCCCGGAATTGCCCTGAGCCTAAGAAGGGCCCCCCTATGGGGGGTCGGGGTGCCCCACATGGAGCCCACTGTGCCCAGTGGCCCACGCTAAACCCCACCCAGCTGCCAGGGCAGGCCCGGCTGGCCCACCAGCCCCCAGGGCCCTGGGAACCTACCCACAGGTGTAGTGGGCCCATGGATGCCAATCAGGCTCTCCCCTTGACTGAGACCACCTGGGAGTCCAGGGATATCACATAAAAGAATAAAATATTTGGACACAGTCTGCATTGAACCATAGGGTGGAGGGGAGTAGGCCAGTACTTCTCACTCCCGCCCCAGGGAAGGCCCCCTGGTGGAACGTCACCCGTGGGAAAGAGTGTTGGTATCTGCACTGGGGCAGGTTGTCCCATCCTCAAGGGATATCATTTTCAAGAGGTCAGTCTCTCTAATGGAATGTTATCCTTGAGGAGGATGACTCATGATGGAGCAAAATCCATAGTGAAATTCTGGCCCCTGGGGAGCACTGTGGGGGAGCATCCTCCTGGGAGCACTCTGCGGTGGGCACCTCCTGGGAGCACTCTGGTGGAGCACTCCCCACTAAAGAAAGGCCCTAGTCTACAAGAGTGGCCTATACTGGACTGTTATCAGTAACGCAGCACCGGAGTCCAGGGACCCAGGGTCCACACTGGAACATCACTCCCTGGGAAGCGTCTTTAAAATCAGAATAAATGGTTCTCAAATAAAGATTTTCTATAAAAGGGTTAAAAGATACGAGTTTATAAAATTTGTAAAATCTTCTAGAAGGTAAAACGAGAAGACAGTGAGTTGAGGAATTGAGAAAAAATAAAATACATAGAGGGCCTTCCCAGGATGCCCATCATCTGACTCATAGAATTTTCAGGAAAAAACATTAACAGGAGGTGGGGCTGGGGGGGCATTTAAAGGGAGTGATATAAAAAGCAGCCCAGCCCGTCAAGAATAAAGACATTTTCAGACCTGCGTTTATTACCTGTGTCCTCTCTTTGGAAGCTACTAGAGGAAAGTCTCAAACTAAGGTTGTAAACCAACAGAAGAACCCACATGAGGGGGGCCGCGGAGGGAAGACCCAGGACAGCGTCTGTGCCCTCCCCGCGCCCGGGCCGTGCCATCAGCCCTGCTGTTCTCTCCACATGGACGTCAGAATTAGCTGGTCAGGCTTTTGTTCATTTTCCTCTGGGACCTTTATGTTGGGATAGCCCTGGATTCACAGGTTGATTTGGGGGAAGAACTGACATGTTTACAGCATTGATTCTCCCCAAAGCACCACGCGACGCACTCGTTTCTCTAGGTGTCCTTTTCTGTTGTCTGGTAAAGGGTTGAATTCCCCATGTAGGGCTTGCAGCGTCTTGTGACCCGTATTCCTGTGTGCTTTATGCTTTTAATAATGTTGTGTGTTCGCACCGGTTATTAGGATCACACAGAATGGCCTGGGGCCGTATGTAGTTGCCGCAGACAGAGCCGGGCAGAAGTCCACGCTAGTTACTGCGCTCCTGCAGCGCCTTCAGAGGGCACAGAGGGACTGCACTCCTGGCCCTTTGTGGTCGGGGGTGGGACTTGCTCTGGGCAAATCCTTGTGTTGCTTCCCAGCTGGGGTGCATTTAACCGCCAGTGTGGACATCCCACCCCCAAACCACCAGCATCCAGGACTGTTCCTAAGGGTGGCCGCTCTGTCGGTCTTGTGGGGAGGAGAACACGGCACAGTGTTGGCTGAGCCACGCGGAGCGTGCAGTGTGGCCAGGAAGTGAGCCCCCGAAATCAGGCTGCTCATCAAGGCCACACAACCTCACCTAGCCTGACACGCATTTACTAACCCCTCCCCCTGTTCCACCAGTTTTCGGGTGATTTCCTTACTTCCCAGGCGGAGGTCCTATTCGGACAGTCGGCTGTCCCTCCTTCACGGTGCTCACCTGTGCTGCCATGGGGACCACGGGGCTGGCCGTGGGCAGTGACCCTGCCCTTGTTCCTGCCTGTGCTGGGGGCCACTCAAAGGCCCCACAGTTCCGGACATTTGCAGGATGGGGAGTTTGATACCCAGGTACTAGATCTTCTTTAATTTCAGCTTCCTCTTAAATGGTAAAATCAGACATGGGTGTTTGATGTTACATTTTCAGCATCTTTGTCCCCTTTGGTGTGTTGATGCCACAGATCTCACAGATGGGCATTCTGGTGCTGGTCTGCTGTAGATTCGTTCGTCCACGTGTTTATGTCGTTACCCACTTTGGTCACTGTGACCAGCAGTCAACCACCTTGATTCAGACACTCCTACTTGGGAAATGATTTTAAAAGTTGTGCTCTTGCCCACTTCAAGCAAACAAACTTCACTCCACGGCCCCAAATCCCGAGGAGGAAAAGGGGACTCCATTCTCCCGAGTCAACACCATACCTGACTTTGCTAATCTTTCTGAGGATCTCGTGTGTTTGCCCGAGGAGTTGGGGGGCAGCATTTCTGGGCTGTTCTCCCCTGGTCTGGCCTCCATACATGGGGACACCAGCTTCACGGGGGTGCTCTGGTGGGAGCCCAGGAAGCCCGCAAGCCCGAGCACGGGGCACAGGCCTGGGCACTGGCTCTGGGTTCCAAAGATAACCAGTCTCTTGGCCCCGTCACTCCCTCTTCTAGAAACGATTCAGGCAACTTAGATCTTTCCGGAAAATGTGAATGCGTCAGCTCCCGGAGCACGCTGTAAGGTGCTATCATAGTGCGTTTCCGGGTGAGATGTCGCCAGCACACCTGTGACGTCCCTGGAGCTTCTGTCCACGTCATTCCGTGTTGCAGAAACCGCACGTCTGGGTTTCCTCCTCTCTCCGGGTCCCAGGGAGGAGCCAGGTTGCTGGGCCCAGCGCCCCACCGAGCGACACTCCTGCTCTGGCTCCAGATGCCCCCTCGCCAAGGGGCTCCCGCGGGGCCAGCCACCAACCAGGAAGTTCTGCTGGAGCTCTGGTTGCCTCTCCACTGCAGACGCTCCCCTTTCCCAGAGAACAATATGTGTGCAGCGCGCCCGCCTCCCGCCACCACCACGTTATTAAAGCCATAAAGCTCTTTCCGGGGTGCGGCTGCCCTGAGCTGACAGCACCCCCGGGAGGGGTCACGCGGAGGAACGGCTGCGTCTGAACAGTACTAACCAGGGGCTGACACTACTTGTTATTTCTCAGTGGTTTGTTCTGGGAGGAGAGACCACGGGGAGTAGTTTCCTAGAAGCCCCTGCGCCCCAACCCCACACCACTCGCCCCGCGCTCTCGGAGAGGAAGGGACGCCGTGCGCCCCGAGCACCAGGTCCCTGCGCAGGACATCTTCCCAAACCAGGGGCCCCGGGTGGCAGTGGAGCACCCCCTTCCTGCCCTCCCCTGACAATGCCTTCCATCTTGACCTCACATCGTGGAGAATTCTGTTTTAGGATCCGCTTGGCTTCAGCTGGAGCTGATTCGCACAGAAAAAATGAACGTGCCGTGCACGACCTCTGATAGGAATATTGTGTGCAGAGGGCAGCGGCTTTACCCTTCCCCCTAGGGTGACTTTGTCATGGGGCGGGGGCAGGAGACGGGCACAGGCTGGGGGCCCACACTCGGGACCATGGCCCTTGGCCTTTCTGGGTCCAGGAACCCCTCTTAGATGTCAGGAGCTTGATGGGGACGTGGTGTCCGTTTGGGAAAGTGAAGGACACTCTGGACGGTGGTGACAGCTTCACACAGTGTGAGTCAATGCTCCTGAGCAGCACCCACAAAGTGGCTAAGGGGCGCTATGTTCTACTTTATCACAATGTTTTAATTGCTTGCTATGACTTACACAGTTAAGCCAGAAAAAATATAATACGTAATTTAATACATATATATATTAGTTTATATGTAATACGGTTTAGCCAGGAAAAAAAAAAGTCCAGGGAAAGGACAGATCACTTCCCCCAAAAGGCACACAGGCATGCACCCCCGTTGCCTGGGTCTTGGGGTCCCTGGGCACTCGGGGCCGCATCAGCACACACTGATTACTCCCAGTAGGGGGGGCCGACGCTCCCGTGACACCAGGGCTGGTGTGGGAATTGTTCCACGTACAGAAATGGGGGCGGCATTGACCCAAGGCCCTTCTGAGCAGACATGTGAGAGGCTGGCATTGGCAGCTTTCCCCCAGTCCCCACTGGAACCACGGCGCTGTCCCGTGGGACCCCCACCAGCCGGGGCCTCAGTGACACACAGTGGAGTAGAACCACGGCCAGCATGTGACACACAGGAGACGGGTTCTCAGCCACTTGTCAGTGCCACACACCTGGCTCAGGCTGACCGCCAAGCCTCCCGCTCAAGGGGGCCTGGAACCTCGCCCCACCTCCTGGCAAAGCCCCTCACTCACACACGCTTCTCATCCAGCACCACCTCCTCCTGCTTACAGGGCCCACACAGGGGTGGGCCCTGGCGGGTCCCCTCCTCCAAGGGGCTCTCAGTCTGCAACCAAATAGAGCAACGAGGCCAGTCAAGAGGTCAGCGTGGGGTGTGGGGACGGAGAGAGGTGGCCTCGAGCTGGCCTTCAAGGGGACGGATGAGACCCACACGCCGGGCTCCCCTGTGATCAGACCCTCTGCCTCCCTGTGGGCCTGGGTCCAGTGGCTCTTCATGCCTGTTCCAGGTGTTTCCAGAACGACCTGGAGGGTGTTACAGGCTCAATCCACACATTGAAGCCCCAACCCCAGGACCTAGGACGTTGCTCTGTGTGGACACGGGGTTTTCAAGGAGGTGCCAGAGGAGAAATGAGGTCACGAGGGTGAATCTAACCCAATAGAACAGGTGTCCTTCTAGAAGGGGAGAGCAGGACGCAGACATGCACAAGGGGAGAGGCCTCCAGACCGTGAGAAGTAGATATCTGTGGTTTAGGACACCCCGTGAAGGCTGGGCAGCCCGTGTGTCCTGCTATGTATTGTTCCTGTTGACTGCTCTGCTAGCCAGGGTCCTCCAGGGAAACTGGACCACGTGGCACTTACTCACGTGGCCTCAGTTAACACAGCCTCACCCCACGTGTTCATCACATTCATCATCCACATAAGTGGGCTTAGCCCATGTGCCCTTGGATCATGGGACCCCCAGCTCAAGTGGTGGCTAGATCCATGTGGCGTTGGTCCATGTGGTGCCCACTCACGTGGCCTTGGTCCAGGTGGCACCTGCTCACATGGCCTCGGTTCACATAGCACCCTCTCACTTGGCACCCACTCACCTATGGAGGACATACTGCTTCTCTCTGAGTTCTGTGCAGGGGCGACACATTCATCCTTCTCAGAGTCCAGGTATGGGGACCACGGCCTCTGTCCTTGGATTTGCCAGGACTAGAGACCGAGTACCTCCTCCTGGTGTCCAGGTGTGGGGACTGAGCTCCTCTTCCCTGGGGTCCAAGCATGGGGATGGGCAGGGCCTGGCACGCCACAGTTTCCATTGCCATGTTCTGCTATCTTCCTGGGACCTGGGGCCTCACCCCTCTGACGAGGTCATCTGTGTTTGTCAGTGCTGGAGGAAGGGGCAGGCTGTCACCTCATCAGCACCCCAGTCCCTGCAGCTGGGGTGGGTGGTGGGGCCTGAGTACAGGGCCACCAGGGGCAGCATCGCTAACACGTGGGACCGATGTCCCAGGTTTTTGTGAAATCTGGGTGGTGTCCTGGGCTCTGTCGTGGGGATCGTGGGCTCAGAAAGTGATGAATTCTGCGATTGGGAGGGGATCCGCCTGTGGGAGCTTCAGAGTTCTATTCTGGGTGTGCTCGTGGTCAGGGCGATGGGGCAGGCACTGTCCCCCCTTAAGGCCTTGCCCGTGGCTGAGGAAAGGCCCTGTCTCCACGGACTGCAGTGCCCCCTGCAGCCCGAGACCGGCTCCCAGGGTGTGGAAAGCACACATGCAGCTCAGGGGAGCCGGGGACCTGGGGCAGGGCAGGGTCCGGCCGACGAGGCTGGGGGACAGGAGGGGGTTTCGGGGGTACCTGGCATCCACCTTCACCCACACATCGGGTCCATTCTGCCCAGGGCAGCAGGACACGGATCGCCCTTCCAGGTCAGGGCCCACACTGGTGTGGGGAGCAGCGAGCATGGACACCGGGCAGCCCCTGGGGCCGCCTGCGGGAATGCTGAGTGACCGTGGGCAGGTGAAGGCTGCCTCCTCAGAAAGGCCGTGGGCAGGGGCTCTGTCCACCCTGAGCTCTGTGTAGGCCCGTGTGGACCAGCCAGAGACAGGCCGGGAGGGAGCTGGCCTGCAGAGGCGGGTGACCACGGGGCAGCCAGGCACGGGGGGAGGCGGGGACCCAAACAGGGAAAGTGCAGGGAGAGCCCGGGACCTGGAGCAGGGGACCCAGCGGCCTGTCGGGGTGCACACGGACCCCAGGTGGCCCTGCGGCTGGGGAACCCCAGGACCCCTCAGGTCCCCAGATCAGAGACGGGCTGCCCCTGAGCGGTTCACCAGGCCACCTTTGAGAGAATTTCGGGAGGAAGCGTCTGCACCCTGGGGGTGCACATGTGGGAGTCCGAGCCGCACGGGCCAGGAGAGAACGTCCAAGAGAGTCGCAGTGACAGACGGGGCCGCGAAGCACCCACAGGCAGCCCAGAACCCGGGGGGGCGTGCAGGGGAACCGGGGAGTCCGAGGGAGAGCCTGCGCCCGGAGCGGAGCCCCGTCCGACCCCACGCAGACCTCATAGAGCCCTGGTTCCTCCAGAGCCCGGGGCCCACCGGGCATCCAGATGGAAAAGGCACCGTCGGGCCCCAGCGTCAAGCGGCTGCCTCCGAATTTGGGGGCGTGAGTACTCGACAGCCTGGGCGTGTTCATTTTGGGGAGCACCCTGAGCCCCCAAAGGCCACGAGGGAGCCCGCGGACACAGGTGGCGTGAGAAAGGGGACCCGCTGCGCTTCTTCAGGCTGCGGAGAGGGGAGGGGAGGCCCAGGCCTGAAACGGGGGGCCCGTGTGTGGAGTCCAGGGGCCCCCTCGGCAGGCAGCCACTCGCAACACGGACTCACTGTCGCCCCAGAAACATTTTGTGGGGGGAGGGCTCCCTGGAGGGTGTCCGGCTGGTTCTGGTGCGGGCCGAGATCCACGGGCAGAGAGACACCCGGCTTCCACGGCACAGGTGAGGGGCGCCTAGCGCGCATGCGTGAGCCGCGCAGGTGCTGGCAGCCAGGGGCCCAGAAGAGCGAGAGCGGGCAGAGCGGCTGGGGAGGGGGCGGGCCCCCGGGGCTCCAATCCTCTGCCTCATTCCCAGCCCTAGGCTACACACCTGGGCCTACTTCACCCCCAGAGGTGAAGCTGGAGGAGCGGGGTCTGCCTTGGTCGCAGGGGCCCGGGAAGCAGGCGGGGTGTTTTTCCAGCAACAGACACCTGGGAGCCTCGATGCCTGGTCAGCCCGGGACCCCGTCGGGCAGGCAGCCGGTTGCAGGGGGACCGACTGTACCGTTGCAAGCTGTCCCCTGACAAAGGGTGTGGGGGTGCCCTTTTATTCGGGAGGCTGCTGGGGTGATCCCGGCTCTCCCGAATCTCCACCGGTTTCCAGGGCCTCGGCTGGCTGACAGGTGCGTATGGTGCTTTTAGGAGCTGCCCGTGTCAGGGGAGCCCGGGGCGCGGCTGGTGTGGGGTGTGGCAGCGACCCCAGGCTGGGCTGGGCGGCCCACACGCTCGACCTACTTGCAAGCCTGCACCTGCGCACGTGGGCGTGTGTTTCCCTTTCAGCCGGAGCTAGGGGAGCCGGGCCTGTGTTGCCAGGGGGGCCTGAGTCCCCTGACTACGCTGTCCTTCTGTAAGAGACCCCTGAGGGCCCTGAGTTCGGGAGAAGGCGGAGGCTTCATCAGGCAGCCAGTCCGACCGGGACGGAGCTGGGCCCCTGGAAAGGTGCCTCTAAGAAAGATTTGGGGGGGTGGGCTCCCTCCAGCCTGGAGGCTGTGCATGTGGTTCCAGACCGTCGGGAGCTGGGCAGGCTCAGGTGACCCCAGCCACCCTCTGCCGGCTGACGCGGTGCTTACTGAGCATGCTCCAGCCGCACAGGTGCGTGGAGCCAAGGATCTGGTCCCCGGCCAGGGTCTGGAGGGCTGCTTGCTTCAGGCAGTAGCCTGGTGGGGTACATGGCATCGGCCTGTTTCCAAGTGCGAATCCACACAAATGCCTATGT